GGGGAGGCGACAGGCTGTTAGTGGTGGCTGTGGGGAGGTGACAGTTGTTAGTGGTGGCTGTGGGGAGGTGACAGGTGTTAGTGGTGGCTGTGGGGAGGTGAAAGGTGTTAATGGTGGCTGTAAGGCTAGGTGGAGGAGGGAGGTATTAGTAGCAGTTGTAGATAGAGAAGCAGCGATAGATAACGATGGTGTTTATAGTCTTATAGGTTAAGAGATGTTACAAGAGGTGTCAAGTGGCAGGTGAGGAGGAGGGCAACACGTGTAGGTGGCGCCTCAGGTGTTGGCTAATAACAGGTGTTTAACGGTTTATACTTTTAGAACGAGTATAAAGAACTCAAATGAATTATCTTATCAAAACTAATATGTACTTAGGATCCATATATAATAAGGTAAGTAAAATAAGTAATTGAAATAAAGAAAGAATAAAATTAAATAAGGTTGTGAGTTTAGTATTAATGTCAGTACAGTATAGTGAAGAATTAATGATGTTCTACTTTTTGTTGTAATTATGGAACTGAAGTAAAGAAATATATATATCTTGAAACTCATTTAACAAGCAGTTGGTGACCCACAAGTGGTGAAGGAGGAGCTACATTAAACAGTGAAGGTCCTACTTGTAGGTGTTCCTGATGAAAGTCCTCAAGATCTTGTTTCTCTTGTCTGTCTCGAAGCCGAACTTGACGTCATCGTCGTTAAAGGTGAAGAAGGCGTCCGAGGGCGTCACGCCGAAGATGAGGTCATAGCTGGCCAGGCGGTTGATGTAAGACTGTCGATCTGTGTCGAAGTCGGTGTCGATGACCACCCCGTCGACCGTGGGCCCGAACGCGTAGTAGTACTCTGGCACCTGACGGCAACAAGTCTGAAGTTACAACCAAATCAAGTATATTACAGGATCCCTATAGTTAATTTTTAAGTGGACTTCAGTAAATTGTACCATTGCCTCATATAGCACTGAAATCAAGCGACTCCTGAATTGATCTCAGTGAATTTCATGACTTTGGGTTGATTTGATCAAAGTTTTAATGTGTTTGGATTGGGATTAGCGAAGTCTAGCGAGTTTTAGCGGTTATCTTAGCGACTTTTGATAGTTGGCAAGAAGTGAGGTCAGCGTCTTGCTTCTCTCGGGTGGAAAGCAAAGTTTTGTATTCCTTCTACCTAAATAAAATTTCGTATACTTTTTATGCAAGACTTTTTGACCCCCGACCCAACACGCACGCACGCGCCCCCGCACACACACACACACGCAGGTTTCACTAAGTTACACAGTGATGACCTTTAGCCCACCATGGTAAGGACGGGCGGGGTCTTAACTACCTGCCTGCGCTTGTTAGGGTGAAGAAGGTCCCTCTAAAAAGATGTTAAGGGAGTCTTATATTTTTCTATTTACGTCGGAGAGTATGAAGGGAGAGGGAGGAGGAGGAGGAGGAGGAGGAGGAGGAGGTAGGTGCAGGAAGAGGAGGAGGAAAGATGAAGAGGAAGAGTAGGAGGGAAAGGGGACAAGGGGAGGAGTAGGAGGGAAAACGGAGGAGCAGAGGAATAATTAGAGGGGAATGAGGAAGATTAGAAAGAAATAAGGAAATGAGAAGGAAAAAATAGGAAGAAAAAGAGAAGGAGGAATAAAAGGAGGAAGGATAATTAGAGGAGAGAGGAATAGGATGTAAAGGATGACTAGGAAGTGTTGGATCGGAAGGAAAAAGGAGTAAGAAAAGGAGGGGAGGGGAGGAGAGGGATGGGGAAAGGGGGAGAGGAGGAGGAAGAGTGGGATGAAGATGTTAAGGAGGATAATGTTACGATACCAGAAACTAACACACACACACACACACACACGCACACACACACACACACACACACACGAACGCTTGACTTGGGAATAATTTGTTTTGCTTTGCTTCACTTAACTGGATGTGAAGGTAAAGTGGATTTAAATTTTCTCACTTTAAAATTTATTCCTTGTTGTATGAAAGTAATTAAGGCTCCTACAGAAGGGGACGTGCATTAAGTTCACTGAGGAGGAGGAGGAGGAAGAGCAGGAGGAAGAGGAAGACAGAGAGGAGAAAAGGAGGAGGAGGAGGAAGAAGAAAAATACCCCAAACAAAATCTATATGTAACAAAAATAAGGCAACATTTCTCTCGCTTCTTTCTCCTGACGAAGACCTTGAGACACATCCCATATACCAGGTGGCCCTCGTCAGGTGAATCAGGTAATTGTACAGGTATAATATGGAACAAAAATGTCTTCTAAATTGTCTCGTTTTGTGTCACATTATGTAGCTGTTGTAACATTGCTAACCCTAGAGGAGATGAAGGGTTGACAACAGCAGAACGTGGATTGACAACACCAGAACGTGGGCTGACAACACTTGTACGTGGGCTGACAACACCTGAACGTGGGCTGACACCAGTACGTGGGCTGACAACACCTGAACACTTCCTCACGACTACATGACAGGAGGCCCTATGGTCTTACAGTACCTCACCCGGAACGAAGGTGGTGAGCACTTCAGATGTAAACACAGTGGAGGAACCTTACGCTGCCCCGCACATGGCTCCTCCTGGTAAATAAACCTTTATGTAATACGAGTCGATGGAGACCGTGAGTTTGGTTGAGTTTGGGCGAATCTACAGGATGTTTGGCGAGTTTGGTTGAGTTTTGGAGAATATGAAGGATACTTGGCGAGTTTGGCTGTGTTTTGGCGAATATGGGGGATGTTTAGCGACTTTTGTCGAGTTTTGGCGAATCTGGAGAATACCTGGCGAGCTTAGGTGAATTCTGGCGAATCTGATCGATTTTTAGTGTATTTGGCTAAGTTATAGAGAGTGTGGTTTAACTCTTGGTGAGTTCGGTCAATTCTTGTTAGGAGTTTGGCTACTTCTGGTGGATTTGGCGAACTCTTCAGTGATGCTTAATGATGACGTCACGTGTGAAGATGAAGCATGAGACTGAACTCACATAACATGAAGTTAATGACATTACATGGTGAAGTGTGATGACGTTACTTGAAGCAAGTCTCTCAGCTGCCTGGGAGTCTCTCAGCAGCTTCGGTGGGTAGTAGGAACGACGCCCAAGTCTGGCGTCAGGGTCGTTAAGCGATTAAGAAAACTTCTAAAGACAGGATTAACTTGCATGTTATTACAAAACTTAGCATATTTACGCTTGGCCAAAGTTTGTTAATGAGGTGTTTACGGTTGAAATATTGTCGTTCGTTATAGGAGAGCAGCGATAACGTTCATTACCTGAGACGCTTCCCCAGATGGCTTGTAAGAACCCCCACTCGGCCAATTGTGTATCCCCCTCCCCCTGTCCGGCTTTCTGCTTGGAACTGTCGGGTCTTCTGCTGGACAACGTCACAGTATCTAAACATCAACATCGTCTTTGCCCCATCAGAATGCAAGGGGCAATCAAGTGGCAAGTGTATGACCCCAGGACACACCAACACGGGGATCCAGTTGTCAGTGACGTGTAATTACTTCAAGAACAGCTAACAGGTGACCCAGGTGACGACGACCTCTCTCTCTCTCTGTCCTACAACACACAAAGTTATGTCTCGACTCGGAAGTAACTTTGAGGAGGACGCTGATGAAGACATAATCGACAAGAAGAGTCACCTCCTCCACCACACTGTACACCACACCAGCTTCCTACAATAGCTGTATCTATTATTTCTAAACACATAAAACAACTCTCAGTTCAATGCAAAAACAGACAAAACCCACATACTCAATATTCCTGTTTCCCTTAAGATGATGAACTCAAATATGATAAATAAGATCACCTTAATTAAGGGGAAAGAAAGATTCGCTAATACTTGATAATAGTTAACCAATGATGATAATAGTAGCTTCATACAACAACAGATACAAGAATATCCGTAATACCTGATGACATTTACCGGAAATTGCAAAGATAAGTCGATTTTTTTGGACTAGGGCGGGAGAGGGACATGGTCGCCAACCCCCAGACAAGACGATAACACCTTGATTGAAGATACTTGAAATACAGCTCACAGAAAGTATAATCTCACCTTATTAAAAGAACACCTGCTAATATATGCTAACATAACAGTTTATGAAGGTTCACCGTAAGTACAATTTCCGGCTGTAATGAGATACAGAAGGCGAGGCAGTAAAATAACTCCCCATTCCCGCGGTTGTGTGAACTTCATCATCACCTCAAAGAGAAAATATTTATCTTAGGAGCTGCAGGTGTGGCCATTAAAGCCGGGTTAGATTAGAAGTGATGAGGAGGAAGACGAGGGCATTGGAGAGGGATAATGGGAGTTCTTAAGGGACGGGGGACCACCTGGAGGTTATGTGAGGTCACAGGGTCGTCGAGGGTCGTGTGATGTGAAGTAATGTGGTCGTTAAGTAGGTCATGCAAAGTCAAAGGGTTATATAAGGTCAAAGTGTCATCAGGAGATCATGAAGTGATGAAAAGATCGTCCGGACAAGAGGTCACTATGGAGGGTCAATGGAAAACCTTCTAAGGTCATAGGACCCTCAGTGTATCAAGTGTATCATATGTGAGGTCATAAGGGGTCGTCAAAAGCTCATGTTGGGTCATAAGGGTCACTGAAAGGTCGCGTGGGGTCATGAGGGCGTCGAAAGGTCACGTGGGGTCATAAAAGTCATCGAAAGGTCAGTAAAGGTCAGATACAAGACTCCAAGCAATGATGCCATGTAGGAAATTCAATAATAAAAAAAAAAATAACCCGTCGGAGCTCTTGTGAGGCGAGTCTCTGGCCGTGTGTGGTGACGCTGGTGGGATAATGGTCTGGCGGCCTCCTCTGAATACCTCGTCTTTTGGCTGGGGATTTTTGACTTGGTAATGATGTTGGCGCTGACTCGGGACGGTGGATCATTTAGGGAGGTCAGGTAAGGAGGAAGAAGCCAGGTGAAGTCATATGAGGAGGAAAAGGTCATGCGAGGAAGGGAGAGGTTTAAGTGAGGTATAGGAGGTGGTGGTCATGGGAGGAGGGAGAGGTCAAGCGAGGAAGGGAGAGGTTTAAGTGAGGTATAGGAGGTGGTGGTCATGGGAGGAGGGAGAGGTCAAGAGAGGAAGGGAGAGGTTTAAGTGAGGTATAGGAGGTGGTGGTCATGGGAGGAGGGAGAGGTCAAGCGAGGAAGGGAGAGGTTTAAGTGAGGTATAGGAGGTGGTGGACATGGGGGAGGAAGAGGTCAAGAGAGGAGGAAAAGGTCTTGTGAGGTGGGGAGAGATTCTAGTGAGGTATAAAAGGGAAAGTTCAGGTGAGGTCATATGAATCTACAAAAAAAAAAAAATATCCCGTAATAATATCAAGACGGTGTAGTAATTACCGTAACACCTCAGGTACTCTTAAAAATCTTAATGATAGTTGGGTGAAAATTATTTGAATTACCTAAAATACCCCCAGTAAAGTCTATTATCAAATCCTATTACAAAGTTTGCTCGTAATATTGGTAACTCTGGCGTAAGTTGAGAGTTTATGGGTTTTAGTCTCCTTGGGAAAAATTGCTGGCAACACTGATCATCTTGGTGGGGGTGAGGGCGAGGAGGAGGCTGACCACGCTGACGAAGTGTGTGCTGACGGCCAGGTAACTCGAGATTGACGAGAGATTGTGATATGTCTCGTCACCATCTTCTCTCGTTGTATAATTGGGTCGTGGTTAGGTAAGGTAAGGTGGTGTGTAGTTCATGTAAAGGTGAAATAAGCTGGGGTGTCTAATCCTCACGTGATCTATATTCCTTAATCCCTGGAACACCATCAACACAACAGCTCCCTCTACCTGTCAGTGATTGGGTCATTGACTGTTTCTGATCGTGCTTGAGAAAAACACAATCATCCCTCACGCTCGATAAAAAAAACCCAACACTTAGTCAGG